CCTTTGGTTCTCATCCTCTCTCTCTCTTCTGCTTATCTCTTCTGCAGGATTCATAAAACAGGAAGGAAAAGACACTAGTGCTTTCCCCCAGTAGTGTCTGAGACACATAAAACTCAGAGCACCCAGCCAAGCCACAAGAATACCAAAGCATTTATGACAAGTGCCCAAGAAAAAAAGTAGGAGTCAGAAATATCTAGAGGAGGAGGAGGAGGAGGAGGAGGAGGAGGAGGCAGCATAGCTTATGCTTAGGAGGAACATCCAAAATGTTCATGACTTGGGCATAATCAAAGAAGATAGCTGAAAACAGCAGGTCTCAAAAAGAACATTACCGATACTTAAATTCCTGAGTGGGATCACAATTCAAACATATTGGCAAGCATTTGTACAGACCATCAAGGTATTTCCCTCTTTTCACCTAAGAGAGTTGTGCATGAAAAAAAGATGGAACTTTGGTTGCACTCTCATGGGGACCATCTTGACTTGTTTGACTGTATGTGGAGACCCCTCCTAACATCACTGGCAGCCTTTCTTTATATCAGCATGGAACCAAAACAATGGTGTGAAGGGAAGATGCAATTCTCCCAAATTCTCTAAATTGCACAAGGGAAGAAGAAAACAAGAAGTTATACTTATAAAAACCTCACTGTGGCTAGTTAACTGATGTCTCAGGAGAAAAAGGCATGGAGGTGCTCAGGAAGAAGATTAAATGTTTCAGCAACAAAGAGGTTAAAGCTTTGAAATCGGTAAAAGATCAGAACATAGTCAATGAACAGGCTATAGTGAGTATCTCACCATGAATACTGTTAGTGAGTTGTGACAAGGAAGATGGGATGGGCTTTTTTTTCTCCCTACTAAGGAGAGAGTCATGGAGAGCAGCAGGTCTGAAGTAAACCCCAGATAGAGCCCAAGTGGACAGAGATATCTATTCCCTTTTCTCTTGCCTTTCTGATACCCGCTTCCTTTCTTAAGATGGAAGAACTGAGAGCTTTTATTGTATGCAGCATTTAAATTTCTCTGTACTCACTTCTAGAGTTGCAAGTTGCTTACATATGTCCTCTTGTGAATTGGGTTCACAGTCTAGGGGCGCTCTTACATGCAGCTTGATCAATATACTTTTGTGATACAAAGCACCAACTGAATTCTATACGCAAGTTGTAGCCCTCCTGGACAGTTCACAGTTGTAAGAACTCAGGTAACACCCTACCACATTGTATAAGTAGCTTCCATTAAAGGCCACTTGGAAAGCACGGTTCAAAATATAATGATTAGATTGCTTAGCTCAAGAATATAGGGCATGTCTTTCCAGTTTCACAGCAGGCACACGAAATCCTACAGTCTTCATTTTCATAAAGAAAACAGGACTGTTTTCAAAGGGAAATGTCTAGCCTTTAAATACTTCTTTGTCAGCCTTGACATAGTCACCATTTGTATTCCAATAGTCCACTTTCAGCCATATTCACTGTAATCTTAATTGCTCAATGAATACTTCCTTCCCAAATAGCTTTGTTAATTTCTCCATCTGATTTCCTTTATTTAAGGTTGCAAATTTTCCTACTTTGAGCCCATGCAAAGTTAATCAGTGCATTTCTAAAGTTTTCATGGTACTTTGATTTTCTTTTTCCATCCCATTAAATTAAGAAAGGATTTAGCCCATTCCATATTTTATAATGTAAAGTAAGGAATATTACTTGCTTTCAATAATTATATCTATAGCAAACTTAAAGGAGATTTGAAATGCTACTTCCTAGTTCTGTTTGCTTTAGCATTCATCCATGTCTGTGCATGCTTTATTGCCTATTGTGATTTGATATATTCTTTTTGAAAGCCATTATGAGAAACATATTGGTTGGAAACAAAGGTAGTCTAGATACATTGTATGAATGGCTAATTCTTCTACAGACTATGATTATGCTTATAGGGAGCCTGTGGCTGGCAATTTACAGGGAACCATAATAAAAAAAATGTGGAAAAACCTATCTGTAACTGGATTCAACCTTTGTGCTAAGGCATAATGTGGCCTTTTGGGGGGGGAGGGGCAACCATTGCAGTATTGCTCCAAAGTTGAATGAATCACTTTTTAAGTGACTGTCCAACAATGTAGGGCACATTTTCTATACTCTATCCTTTTTTTTTTCCCACAGAAAATACATACTGCAATGGTTGTCCCCCCCCAAAAAAAATTGATTGCAGATAAGTTTTCCACACTTTTTATTACGGTTCCCTGTAAATTGCCAGTCATAGGCTCACTATACGCGTATTAGCTTTTGCACATCTCAAGGAACAATTAGCTATGGTATCTTGATGTAGTCATGGAAATCCAAGTAGCAAAATTATTATAAAAGCTACTAAGTATGCTTGACCTAGCTCAAATGAACAGAGGACTCCTACTAATGCAGGTTTCTCCAACATGGCATCTCCAGGCTATCTGGAGGTTGCCAGGCTGGGGAAGGATGTTCTGGAGCTAAAAACTACTGTAAAATGATAACAATATTTTGAAGGAAGCATTAGAGTACTAACTCTCAGCTTCCAGTTAGTAGAAATAAACTTTTTCACTGAGCTTGTATTAATTACAATAATTGATTTTATTGTAATTTTATTTTATTAGGATTTTAATTTTATTAATGCTATTTTTATTTTAATGGATATATTTTACTGGGGTAAACTACTTTAATTGTCAGGTTAATAAGCAGGGTCTGAGAGCTACAGGATTTGACCTTCTACAAGTAGAATAAATGAATAAATACATCCAAGGAACAAATGACACCCTAGGCTTTTTTCAGCACTGTTTTGTCTGCTGTCACTATCTTTATGCTCATGCATGAGAATAAAATCAATTTAAGTGGGGAATCTGGTTGGTAACAGATTCTGTATCTAAAACTATGAGAATTCTATCTAAATAATAGTTGGCTAAGTAAATAAGTTTGATTCTGTTGGAATCTCCTTTGGAGAATTTGTCCAAAAGTTCAGATAATGTTCTAGCCAAATTCCTTTATTTCACTTTTCCTTAATCTGACATTTATTCTGGAGAAAACCAGTCTATGTGGTTGCTAATTGACTTGATGGCATAATCTTCATAATCTGCATTCTTCAGGCATCAGCCAGTAGGGGTTCATGATTGCAGATATGCAATGGATCAGGTGTTACTCCTGCCCAGATTTCTGTCTTGAGTGAGAGGAATTGCAGTTTTGCAGCACCAATGCAAATGTGACTTCCCAGTAACAGGTACAGACAACCACATTGCCTGCAAAAAGACCAGTGACTATAAGGACAAGGCTCTTTGATGGTCTTACTTGAGCAGACTAAAGGTGCCTGTCTAGAAAACAACAAGCAAGAGCAAGAGTGAGCCACTTCTGAGTCAGTCCAGCAAATCCTTCACTCTTGCAAAATCCAGACATTATAATAGCCCTACCTAAGGCCTAGTAACTTGCACATGTGAAGGCACAAAGGCAAAACTAATTCAAACATCTCTGGGGGCCTGTATAAAGCACTGCACATTTGTGGTAGGGATAAGCATGTGCATTGGATTGAATCTATTTACATGCTTTACTACTAGAAAGAAATAGTATTAGTGAGAACAGGCTGCACAGGTTCAAATGCCCCTTCCAGTTCAATGATTATACAGTTCTGTGATATTAAACAAGCTTAAATCTGGGTAAGCAAAGTTGCAGGTGTTTATTTGAGCAACAACTCAATATATGAAGAAAAAAGACTACCAAGAATAAAAAAAGTGAAGCATTGGAAGTAGCTTCTGTGAAATGCATTGAAATAAATCTCTTGGCTGGGTGCCTTTGTTACTTTGCTGACTGAACTTTTCCAGCCATTGTGTGTTTATGTTTTTCTTTCTATTTAAAGAGGCTGCATTAATTTTTGTCACCTAATCTGAATCTCTGTATATGTCTCTTTAAGTCTTATTATGCTTTTAAATCAAATTTTCCAGGCACACCTGTCACTGGATTGTCTCTTCCCTGGAGGAAGAGCCTAAATGGTCTAAAAATTAACTGTCTAGGAATCTTTACATTAAATTGCCCCAATAAAATTAGGATTGATTCAATGGGTCAATGGAACAATATATGGCTCATCATAGGGGAATTTTTGACAGTTTCCACCAAAAATCTGAATGGAAAAATTCTCTAACAATCATGTAAAAATGTAATTCATCCTTAATGGTAACAAAAACATAGTTACTGCAGAAGTCCAGGGGAAAGACTTCTCTGGGGATTTAATGGGAGTGTAGAGAGCCAAGAAGACTGCAAAACATTGAACAGAGGATTGCACATACAAATAGGACATTCACCCATAACCCATGGCAACCTCATTAAAGAAATGCATGAACACCCCATTTTAGCCATGGAATAAGCCTGCTGTTCTCCACAGTTTCATTTTTTTGAATGAGAACAGTTAAGAAGAAAAGGAGTAATAAGAGAAATTCTGACCCAGCACTGTAGCAGTCTACATTTACTTGAAGTTAACAGAGTCCTGGGTGTGCAAAGGAAAGTTCCTTCTGGAACAGCACATGCTTTTACAAACTATCATTCTCTCTGAGGTGACAAACACCACCTCTGTAGAGTAGTAGACCGGAGGAAAAGGGCATGGGACCAAAAGTCCTTGTAACAGAATGGGCCTAGCCCTAGGACAATGCTAGACAGGGATGTCCAAAACGTCTTGAGGTGCTTAGAACGGACGCTATACTTTCCTCAGAAAGAGCCATTCATTCATTCATTCATTCATTCATTCAACCTCTCTCTCCCCCGCCCCCCCCCTTATCTTTCATTTTCTCTCTCTCTCTCCCTCTCTCTCTCTCTTCCCGTCTTTTCATAAGACTCGGTGCAAATCAATTGCTGCGCTCCTGGCAGGTCTCCGCTCTTCTCTTGGAATGAGATGCCTGCGCCAGGGAGGCAGAGGGATCGAGGCGCCCGGACTCCTAACTCCTCCCCGCGAGTCTTTACCTCCCAGCCCAGCCCAGCCCAGCCCAGCCCGTGTGAAACCCAATAACCGCGACCATCCAGCCATGCCTCCCCTTCCCGGCAGCGCCGAGGAAGACGAGCACAGGCGCTTCGGAAGGTGCAGCCGGCCGTAGCAGCAGGAGCCTTCCGGCGCACCGTTCGGGCAGAGGGAGACGGCCCAGCGGCGCCCAGCATGCTGGCAGCGGGAGGTCCGCTCGCCGCCCGGCTGGACAGCCTCTTGCCTTATTGGCTCGTCCTGTCGCTCTCCGGCACTCTGGCATCGGCGCAGCCGCCGGGGGTCGCGGTCCTCTGCCCGCCGCTCTGCCACTGCGAGGAGGACGGCATCGCGCTCTCCGCCGACTGCTCCGAACTAGCGCTCTCCTCCGTGCCCGGCGGCCTCAGCCCCTTAACTGCCTACCTGTAAGCACCGACCTGTCAGGCGCTTTGCTTTGCTTCGCTTCTCCCGGGGTGGGGAGGGGGAGGCGGGTGGAGGGGCAGAGCTGCCTGCTTGCCGCGAGATCCGAGGGCGACTCTAACTGTAACCCCCCCTCCCCTCTCTCTCTCTCTCTCTCTCTCTCCTTGTGGTCCTCAGCAAACCCTGTTTATACTGTGATGTTCTGCTTGCGTTACTACTTGATTGCTACGGATCAGCGGGAACAGAGCTTGTTTGCAGAGCAGATTCTGGTTGTTTAAGAGTATATTTATCTTGAGTAATTAGGGCAAACGGCGACGGAGATCCCATCTCTCTCCCATAGTTCTCAAAGCAAGGGACTGCGATCACTGGGGGGTTTGCAAACTCGGGGAGATTCAACATCCAGCTTGAACCCCGGGGCTTGGAAACTGAAGGGGTCCGGAACAAGCTCTTCTGGTCCGGGGTATAGAAGAACCGTTTGATGTTTCGCTTCCACTCGTCCTAGCCGTGTCTGTTCTGTTCTTTGGAAAGTTATTTGCTCGTCTATCTGTAGCTGAACGAGTATGTAGCAAAACTGGGCAATACTGCATGCTTCGTGGCTGTTTTCTCCAAGCGGCGCTTTCGCTTTGAAATCAGACAGTGACCCGCTTATGAAAGAGATTTTGCAGATTTTTAGTTTAGCTAAACTTCCCTGCACTGAAGAAAGGAATGAAAGAATTTGGCTTTGTTTTGAGAAATCATACAAAGAGACAATGAAAAAAAAAAAATTGGGAAAGGCTGTCCGGAAGTCTGTGGAAAAGGTTTTGTGGGATACCTGACAAAGAGAGTTCGTGTCTGTTTCTTCACACTGTGTCAATGTTTTTTTCAAATTTGGCAACTTTAAGATGTGCAGTCTTCAACTTCCCAGAATTTCCCAGTCAGCATTCTGAGAGTTGGTCCATACACCTAAAAATTTGCCAAGTTTTAAAAACACTGCACTAAATAATCTGTTATTGTAAGCAGCACTGCCTAAAGGTCAGGGCAAAGAGTTGGTGGGAGCCTTGCCTTTGGGTCTCGCTGCATTTCTGACTTTGTGGGAGAACACTCACACCTGGTGTCTCCTGCCAAGCCAGTTTTTCTCCTTTAAGAGGAACATACGGCCATTTCAAGGAGAAAACTAGATTCTGTTAAAACTCAGGAAGTAATGCAATTGTCTTATCTCCCAGACTTTGGCTTTCTGATTGCTATTTGAATGTGTTTCTTCTTTACACCAAGCTGGGAAAAAAGACACACTTCAGAGGAAAAGATTTCTAGATAATTGAGGATTTGATCTACAGTACAAGATATCTAACTTGGTAAGCTATACGTAGCCAAGACATTTGCTCCAGTGCCCAAAGTTCTGTATACAGAGGCCTTCTGCAAAAAACTGAATCAGTGAAAATCTTTGGCTCCAGCAATGAAGCCTTGTGGGGGATTGAAAGAATAGAATTGATAAAGTCAAAGTAAGTTCTTATACTAGTCAACCTAGTGCAGGGGTAGGCAACCTCGGCTCTTTTATGACTCGTGGACTTCAACTCCCAGAATTCCTGAGCCAGATCCATACGCAATCTTATTAAATAATTGAGGTCAGCCCTGTGCTCCAAAATATTCTTTCCTATATATAATACCTTCTGTGACTGGGAGACTCTTCCCTTTAAAATGCATCTTTTCTAGTCCATGACATTATATTTGCACAGTACATGTGAACAACTGATTTCTATTGAACATACTTTGGAATCCAACAAAGTGATATAAGGATGGTCTAATTTGGATCTCATCATAGCAGCATTACATGGTACTACTCAAGGCTTTTTTTTTCTCATAGAATACCCAGAACGAAGTTCCGGCACCTTTTTTGGATGGAACCTTGTAGGGTAGGCAAAGTGGGTTGTATGACGTGTGTGAGTTCTGGCACTTTTTTTAAAAAAACAACAAAAGCACTGGTACTACTGTTGAAAATACTCTTAAGGGATCCAGTCCACACTGTAACTCATTCAAATCTGCTTGGTCTTCAAGGCCTTGCAGAAAATCTTTTCCTTCAGTTTGCCCAAGACCAGCCCTAGAGACAGAGGTTTCCTGATCAGGCTCTTGATTACTTATAGAAGTAATTTACTGACAGAAAACTCTGCTTACACGTTTGTGTAATTACTTTACAAATCTTTGAGCTACAGCAGCAGCAGCAGCAGCAGCAGCAACAACAACAACAACAACAACTGTTGATGGTGCTTCCCCTTTCCCTGTACAGCCTGGTTTGACTTTGTATGACTGAAAGCTATGCTGCAGATCAGCACCCCTTTTAAGGCCAGCGACAAATGCTCTATTTGTTTGGTGCTGAACTAGCCGTGGGTTTGACACAGCAAGCTTAGCCACAAGGTCAACACAACCAGTCTCTCATCTCAAAGCTGGAATGCATACTGTACCTACGAACTCTGTGAGGAAGGCTCCATCTTTCAAGCATGAGAACAAGAATATGAAAGGAGCATCAAAGGTCCTTTTCCACTGTAGCTATGAATTTAGAATTATGCTACGTTAGGAAGAAAGGTGAATGTGTATTTAATATCTTGTTAGGAAAAAGTCTTTGAGAAACTTTGAAGTAGAGAAATAGTGAAGAAAAAGCTTAAATACCTTCCTCTCTTTGAAATTCCGTCTTGACACATCTTTGCTTTTGTGGTTTGTTAACATGTGCATTCTTGCACTTATTAATATATCCTGGAAAATTTGATCCTTAGTAGTCATAGTTCTATTGAGATTGCCAGATAACATATGATAAACTTCTACAATCAGGAGCTTTTCAGGGATTTTTGACTACAACTCCCATCTTTGGCATAGCTGACTGAAAATCAAGCCCTACTCCAAAAAAAGCAGCAGATTCAAGGAATCTACTGAAAAGCTTATTCTGGCTATGGAAGCTCAAAGATCATGTCTGGGTGTTAAAAGTACAATGTCTTGGGCAGGAGGAATTTTTGTTCCAACTAGAAAGCTCTGAATTTAGGGCATCTGCAAATATTAATTGCTTTCATTTGATCTATCACTTTTCATGAGCAAGCTTAGTGTAAATCTAAAAGTCTAATATAAATACATACAAGAATTGTAGCCTAGATCTGATAGTTAAAAAAAAATCTGGACAAACCACTTGTAAATGTTTGCCAAGAAAATGATATTGACTTCTCTATATAGTTACCTAGAAGTCTAGTTAAACTCAAAGGAGTGTTTAATCTTCTAAGAACATCCCTCTAGAAGACAATAATACAGTTTCAGCATGCGGTGGCGCCATTGACAGTTCTTTATGGGAATCAACCTTATACTGTAAAATAGTCTCCAAAATGCATCCATAAATAAAGAGTTGCTCCAACTTTTTAATTTCTGAATAACAATTTCTTTAAAACTTTTCCTTTGCACTTTACAGAAGCATCAGGCTTCCTGCAAATTCTCTAAAAGGCAAATGGACTCTATCCTGCAAATGAATTGTACTCAGAAGATATTTAATATAGAATAGTAAGAATAACTAGATCTCTCACATCAGTGCTTAGAAATCTTTTGATTGTGGTTGCATTCACACTCATATTTAACTTAACCAGAGTTTATTCAGATTGATTTTCTGACTTGCAAAACACATTGAACCATGCATTAGCAATATAAATTGGATTCACACAACACACTAGGCAAAATCTGGTTTTGCAAACTACACCTGAAAATATTTTTGTGCAAAGTAGATAGGGTATTTCTATCTAAAAGTAAATTAATGAGTTTAGTTACACTAGTTTTATTTCCAGGATTAAAACTCTCCCAGTGTGGATATAATAAAGCAGTATCTTTATTATCTGTTGGAACTGTAGCTCAAGAGAAGAGGAATCCTTTAGAAGTTGATAGTTACTTTTTAAATAGATTTATGTACAATCACTGAGTATTTTATTCTGTCATGGCTGATTTTAGCCCAGTCGAGCTACCCACCCACTTTAAATTATAATTTTTTTTCAATAGTCACATGGTCATGAGACAAAGGTGGTAATATAATTGTAAATCAACATATTCATCTAAGGACAGGTTCATAGCATCTTTCATGCCTCCAGCTTACTTTTTATATAGTATTAGCAACAACAATTAGCACTTATACCACTTCATAGTGCTTTACCGACCTCTCTAAGCGGTTTACAGAGTCAGCACATTGCCCCCAACAACCAGAATCCTCATTTTACCAACCTCGGAAGGATGGAAGGCTGAGTCAACCTTGAACCAGTGAGAATCAAACTGCTGAACAGCAGTCAGCAGAAGTAACCTGCAGTACTGCATTCTAACCACTGTGCCACCCTGGCTCTTTTAATTTACCAACATTAATTAAATCAAGGTTAATTCAAACAGGTTTGACTGCTTGGATAAAAGGCTATTAAATTTAGGATATCTTAGGAGTGTAGCTATGACTTGGGAAGTGAAAAAAAAAATATCCTTAGGAGGAAGTAGCAAACTACTCCTGAAGAGCAAGCCTGTCTTAGTGACCCTTTAATGCTCTTTTTTCTTCCTAGTTCAGCTATTCTTTGTGTTGTGTTGTAATATTGATTGTTTGTAGCAATAAATAGCAGTCACTCTAGTTATCTCAGCTTTGTTCTTTCCTCTCTGCTGCTGAACTTGTGCAAACAGAAATTCAAGTCAATAGATGTTCACCGAGTTTCCCATTCTCTTCAACATTCTTCACCCATCTTTGGAATTTCACACCCTGTGTATGAATTTGAAATTCAAGTGCCATCTTTCTCCTCTCTCTTCTAAATTTCTTACTGAATGCAAATAGGATAGCCAATGAAAAGTTGCACAATCTGGACCTTATCCCAGGCAAAAAGCTATTCCCGGTCAACTTGAGCTTAGTCTATCTTTTCATCAAATCTCTCTTTCTGGGTACTGAAGTATTTGAAATTACCAAAAAGCTACTATTTCCATTAGAATGTGGGCAAGCACTGGATAATAACTGCATTCAAAAGAAGTTGTAGAAATGTCATTG